AATACTTATATTCCTAATAACAGTAATATTTAATTATATATATTTAAATTTGTATCTATATTTAGTTATATATTAAATTTTATACTAAATTTTATATTAAATTTTATACTTACATTTATATTTATTTATATGAACAAATGGGGGCTTTACCTAAAGAGCAGCATTATTTATATTTATGTTTATGTTAATACTTATATTCCTAATAACAGTAATATTTAATTATATATATTTAAATTTATATATCTTTATTTATTAAATTTTATATTAAATTTTATACTTTATTTATGTTTAACAAATTGAAAATAATCTCTGAAAATAAGCCCATCTGTGCTGCAATGAGACAGTTTTTTTTTTAAAAAAAGCGATTTTTAGCTGTGTGTTTTAAGGCTCTCAGAGAGTTCTCGGGCTCCTCTGGTCTCCCTCCGTTTGAATTTGCAACCCGATAGTTTCGTTTTGACGAGCTGCAGGAAGCCTCACACGCCACAAGATGTCTCAGCGAGGAAACACATTTCATACAAGTATTTTTTAATATTACTCAAATTTCTGGTGTTTTCCTCGGGTTTTCTTTAGTGCTTGACAGGGGCTTTTCAGCAGCACACGAGGAAGCCAAGCCTGTACAAATTTACCCGTTAGCGTGGGCAATAATTGGGTATTTTAAATAATCAATGATCCAAATGACTCAGTGGAAAACCTTAAGCGTCAAAAAGAAAAGGCTCAATGTAGGTGACAGCTAAGAAATTTTAAATTTTCCTGTGTAGGTTAAATGGAGGAGTTATTTGAAACTATAATTCATTTCCACAAAGTTTGACTTTAATATGTTAAATATTTTTAACTCTTCACGCTCAGGATCAAGGCTGTTTGGAGCTGCTGTGAGGGGACGGTTCTTTGCAGAGTATTTTCTCCAAGTTCCATTATCTTCATGGCCTGCTGCTGTTTTATCTGTGGAACTGCTGCCTTCAGCAGTGAGCGTTCAGGGAGAGCACAGGCGAGTTCCCTGTGAGCACAGGAGGGACTGCACACATGAAATGGTGATTTTTAAAGAAGAGCAGCCTCAGCTTTTGCACCAGAGTGCAAAGTTAATGGCTGGGAAGGAGTTTTATTTTTGCTTTTTATTGCTTTGTGTTTCTACAGCACTCAGTACTTTGGCCTGAGAATTTTCTCACTTTTCTTTTCGCTTCCCTTTTTCATGGTATTGCTGTCGTTCGTCTTCCCCCACCACCCCTCCAGATTAACTCCTTCAATTCTTCTTCTGCAATTCTTTCTTACTGTTTTTCACCTTTCCAGAGAATTCAAGTGGGCACGTAAGAATTGCGTGACCAGCTATAGACATTTTAGGTAAATTAAACCTTTATTATTAATCCTCAACAAAGGAAAATCCACGTGAATTCAACCCAAAATTATTCCCTTTATTGTTAATCCTCAGCAAAGGAAAATCCACGTGAATTCAAACCAATCCAAAAATTATTCCCTTGTGCTTGGAAAGGCATCCAGCCCTGAGCCACCCCATGAGGAGCCAGACATTAATTTATCATCTATTAATGAAGCTGTTTGCAGAATGCCTTTATGTTTTGTGCTACATCCAAATGACACGAGAGATTTTCACAGCAGTCTGGGATGGCCCTATAAGAAATAAAATTTCTCTGAGTTCTTAAGGGAGGGCTGAGAGACTCACATTCTTCTGTGATAAATGTGTGTACTTTAGATAAAGTAACTGAAAACTATTGATTAAGGCACAGTTACCCTTTAACAGCCAAGCAGAATTTCAGAGGAGATTGGCCTTTGTCTGGATCGATAAAATCCTTGCTGCTGTTCCCAGCTATAATTGCTGAAAACAAACAATATGTACGGCTCAGGTTTCAGAGGCAGGTGGGCTATTAAATTCACAAAATTACTTATTTTTTTCCAGGTATTTTGCCAGAATCAGGGTAATACAAGGCCTAGAAACTTCTAATTGGCCAGGCAAATAAAAAGGGTAAAACGAAGTAAAAACAAGTCAACAGAAGGTTAAAACAAAAGTAAAAACCCAGAACAAAAAGATGATCTTTGCACCAATGAAAGCACCCTGTAAGACTAAAAGGGGGCAGATGAATCAGTATGGGGAGAACAAGGAAATAATAAAAAATATTCATCAAAAGCCACGGCTCATAAAGCATTGTCAGGAGGTTTGCATACCTCGTGGGAAGGGAGAGCTTTGAGGAAGGACCTGGCAGAAAACAAAGAAATGGGGCTGTAAATGTCTGTAAATGTCTGTGGATGTCTGTAAATGTCTATAAATGTCTGTAGGTCACTCCAAGCCCAGGAGTGGCTGAGAGCAAACCCAAAAACCCAGGAGAAATCTGCTAAGGAGACCATGGGAGCTGCACTGCCCTTGGGACTCCTGGGGAAGGACGAGGACAGGGAGAAAGCTCTGCTGGGGACAGACAGGGAGGGGACACTGGGGTGACAGGGCTGAGGGGACATGTGTCAGTCCAAGTGCCACAAACACATCGGGGATGAGCAGGAACACCGAGCACAGCTGTGGAACGGAACGTTGGAGAAGCTGAAGCACAAGGAATGCTCAGTTTGCTAAAATCCCCTGCCTTCAGAATGTGTCTGGGCTCCTTACTGTCCACGAATTTCCATTTGCAAATGGTCCCTGCAGTGTGGGGTGTGCTGAGGGCCCCCACCCTCCAGAATTTACATCCCAAATTCCAGCCAGCTGGCCAATCCGGGCTGTGGGATCTGAGGAGATGGATGTCCAGGATCCAAACAGGATACCTGAGCTAATTGAAGTGGAGGAAGCCTAATTGGAGCAGAACAGAAGTCAGCATGGCTTGGGGAAAAAACCTGTTTAATGTGCACACAGCACTTCAAAGTGCTGCTGTCTCCTTTGCAGCACTCAGAACTTGTTTGACACTTGTTTGTCTTTCCTTTGGTTCAGTTATTGTCCGAAATGGGATGGCACAGAGGCATTTTGAGTAACAGCAGTTATCTGGAGAGGCCTTGTCCTGCATTCCTTAGACACCACACTTCTCCTGGGTTCTAAATTATTGGACTGTTGTCTCCCAGCCAAAGCAGGAGGGAGTGCTGATATCCAAATTATTCTGCTCCTCCAGACCTTCCCTTAAAATGGCATTTCATCCCCATTTCACCCCACTGGACCCATGCTCAATGAGCTCCATGAGTTATTCCTAAACTCAGAAATCTCAGCGTGACTTCAAACCACAGGGATCTTCTCAAGGAATGACATCCTCTGGGTCTGTCAGCTTTAAATGGTGCCATCCAAACACATCTCCCTGAGGGCACAGGGTCCTGCAGGCCCTGGGGTTCAGATCCTTCTCTTTGTGTCCCACTCATTTTGTCACATGGACTTTTCTGTCAGCACAAAGGAACAGGGACAGTAAACTCTTCAAGGAATAGGAGCAGACGCTGAAGGAATTGAGCCCCTCAGTTACAGAACACCTGCATGAGACTGCCAGAAGGCAGCAATTAAAAATGCAAAACAGCAGGGTGAATGGATGAAAAAATTCCCATATTTGAAGCAAAATAAACAGCTGACCCCAATAAACATCTGACCCCAACTCTTCAAGGACTTTCATCCCATCTTTCAGCTCCCAGACTTCAGCTCCACTCCCTCACGGCTCTACAGATTCTGATCTCTTACCAGCTCAAAGTATCCCAAACCCTTCAAAAATCTTAAAATTTTTGTAGTGAGTGATCTGTAAAAATTCTAAATAATAAAATAAGCCTTATGCAGGAATAAATTATCCTGGTGCTGCCGGTTGGATTTCAGCACCAGCAGAATTCCTGAAACACCAAGACAATTCTGCTCATTGTGTTCAGCCAGGCAGTTCAAACTCCCCAAGAGGGATGGAGCTGGAAACTTGGAACCTTTGGAAGTCCCTGGGCATTGATTTCACCATTGCTCATTGTGTTCAGCCAGGCAGTTCAAACTCCCCAAGAGGGATGGAGCTGGAAACTTTGGAACCTTTGGAAGTCCCTGGGCAAGAGTCACCACGGAACACGTGATGGGATCAGATATCCAACAGTTCCTGGGCTTCCCTCGGGAGCACACAGCGTGCTGGGGTGAGCCTGTGCTCAGAGCTGAGCCCCAGTTCCCCTTCCCAACACCTCCCCAAGAAGTGCTGAGTGCCAGGGAGGTTTTTGCTCCAGGTTTGGAGCAGTGCACTCCATCTCTGTCCCATCCTGAGGGAGCCCCGAGTGCTCTGCTGATCCAAGCACGATGGAAAAGCCCCGGCAGCTTCCGGAGCAGAGGAACCCAAGAAGCCCTGGCTCTGGATTGATGTCCCTTGTCAGTGGAACGTTTGTCTCCGTGGGGATCAGCTTTTTGTGCCTTAGCAGCCTTGCCTTTAAGGGCTGGTCGCTTTTCCCTGTCTCACTGAGGTTTTTAATTAAACTTTCAGGCATCTAATTCCTCTGAGAACCTGCACCTCCAAGCCAGCCTGACTGATATTTCTTTTAAAGCTTTAAAATGATTCCAAAAGGTTGGGGTCTCCTTGGGCAGATGTAACAGGCCTGTCTTCACTTCTCTGGGAAACCAAGCTCTTGGAAAATGCAATTTTTAAATGCTTGATATTCTGTGAAGTGAATGGAATTGAGTTTCTTCCTTTCCTTTGACGCATAATGTAGAACATTTTTTCAAGTTGATGTGAGTGTCATTTAGTGTAATTTGATAACCTGCAGAAGGGCCTGTGTGCCTGAGACCTTATTCTCATTTTTAGCTGTATGAGCTGGTCTATTTTACGACTTTATTTCTCCCTTCAGAACTTGCTTCTTGGCTAATTTGAGACCTTGGTGCACCCTCATTAAATCTCCCAGGAGTGTTTCTCCCTGAGGAAGTCCTGAGCCCACAGAAGTACATTCTGCTTTATAACAGACACATGATTGGAATAAGAGAATTCACCTTATACACATGCAAACATTTATAAATGTATCAATATGAAATATCACTTTTTAAACATTGAATTGTTTGGCTTGGAAAACCAACATGAATGACTTCTAAAGATATTTTTAGGGACAGAAGATGATATTTTCTATTGAGCCCAAATCACCAGAGCGGGCAATGAGAAATCCAGACATTTGCTCATTTTTTTAGCAAGAATCTCGGCATGACTCAGGATTTAGCTCCTGGTAATTAATTAGTCTCAGTATTAATAACAGCTACTATTGCGAAACTTCCTTTTGTTTACTGTTTCAGCAAACCCACCTGATGTTTTTTGACTTTGAATAACCTGTGCATGAGACAACAAGGTATGTCTGGGTGATTTTATTGCTGCTTCACCCTTTTATAACTTGACATTCCTGTCTGTTTATTAGTAAGAATGAAATGTAAACTTCCTACTTCCCACCTACTTCCTTGGTGTAATCCTGAAACAAAAAAACGGGAGCACAAGAGGACCCCTGCCGCGACTTTTCCAGAGGCCAGGATGGGAAGTCACCACAAAACCAAGGGGATGCAGCTCTTCCCTGGCTGATCTCCTGCGAGGAGGGCATGTAGCAGTGCAGGGACAAGGGGAGCACGTGCATCTCTGGGACAGTGGGAGGCCACAGCTGCACCTTGGGGACAGCACTGGAGCCAGGCTCTGCCCGGGGCTGGGTGAGGAGCTCGTCCTGCTCATCACCACCTCCCTGCAGGAACTGCTTCTAGAATGCAGAAACAGCCAAATTCTCTTCTACATAACTGGAGCTGTAGCTCTCACCCCACTCTATTTTCAAATAAGAAACACATCTATTCCATTTATTACAAAACAGCATTTGATCACTGCTGACCAAATGGCTTGGCTGGTTTACATCTTGAAAAAAATTGATTTGAATCTTCATTTGATTTAAGCCACTTAAACACTGCTCACCTATTTTATTTCCATGTGCGTGACTGCCCCTTTGTCATCGTTCAACTTGAATAACCCCAAGTAAATAAAAAAATAATAATAAAATGCTACAGAGTCCTATCTCAGGTATGAGATATCCCATCAAGTATATCAGGTATAACTGCAGAACTTAATATTGTCAAAGTCCTTTATAAATATTTATGTATAAAAGTTCTTCAGAATCCAGTATTTCCAGATTTAATCTGTCCAACAAAGTATGTTAAGAGTCACCAGAAGTGGATGGTAGAAATCCTTAAAAGGAGTTGAGTTCCTTCAGGGTGATGAAAGTCTCCTTTGACTTCTTGTACTGCCTGGCAAACGTGGCCACCCTCTGGAGAGCTTCTGCCAGCCCCTCTCCCGTGATGGCACAGCAGGGCTGCACGTACCAGTTCCTGTCACTGCAGTACTTCTTCATCTTCAGCTTCCTGGTGATCTCCTCGGCGTTCAGAGCTCCAGGCAAGTCCTGCTTGTTCGCCAGCACGACCACAGGCAGATTTTTTATGGATTCATTCTTTAAAATGAGCTCAAATTCCCTCCTGGACTCCTCGAGCCGCCGCTTGTCAGAGCTGTCCACCACGTACAGCAGCCCGCCGGCGTCTTCCAGGAAATTGCTCCAGACCTCTCTCATTTTCTTCTGTCCTCCAACATCCCAAAACGTCAGCGTGAAATCTTTCCCTGCTTCAATCATATCCACATTGAAGCCAATCGTTGGCATTGTTATAAAAGCATCTTTATACCTGAACTTGTAGAGCAGCGTGGATTTCCCCGCGGAGTCCAGCCCCAGCATCACGATGTTGGCCCCCTTCGTTGAGGGCTTGGCATTCTGGAGGCCCATTTATCCCGGGGACTTCTCTGTTCCAGGGATATTCCCCCTCTTCCCTGGGGCCAGTTTGTGTCGCTGCCTTTCCCTGTCCTGAGGTGAGGCACCAGCAGAGGGGGAGAAGAGGCAGCCGTGAGCTCTGGAGCAGCCAGAGCTCTGCACAAACACACGCTGCTTTTATCGAGGTGATAAGGAGCCACGAGGCTTCGGAAGGCGCACAGCTCCGTGCCAAGCCTGTGGGTGGGACTGGGATGAGTAACCACGGCCCCACTGGCACAGGCACAAAGGTTACAGCCTGCCAGCTTGTTTGAACAGCCACGTTCCCAGCACCTGCAGCCTGATCCATGGAGTCCCTGATCACCGCCAGGCCCTGGCTCTGAGAGAATCCCCCTGAGCATCCACAGCCATCTAGGAGAAAAATGAGATTGATGCCTTAGGCTTTAGCTTTTATATTCTGATATTTTATGTTCAGGTTCTGTGCTGCTTTAGTGTGCAGTTCTGAGCTCCATGTTAAGTGTTGGTGAGCTCTGTGGACAGAGCAGGGACACAAAACAATTCCTGCTCCAGCTGGGCACCAAGGACAAATGATCCCAATCTCAGCCCAGGAGCACAAAGCCTGTGGCTGCAGAGAGAAAAACAAGCAGGGTGGGACTGCAGGGGCTGCAGTGGGATTGGACACTGAACTGCAATGTGCACATGGAGCAGAGCTGAGCCCAGGGAGAGACCCCGGCAGCGCTCGTGCATTTTGGGACCATTTGGGTTCATCCTGGGGGCAGCCCTGGCTGGGCTCTGGTGCTGCCCAAGGGGGATCCATGGAGGAGATCCTTGGAATCAATCCTTCCTTTAACTCTGTCCAGCCTCTGTTCCAGCTCAGCCTTCTCAAGGCATCTGGATATGAACACAAGCAGTGAGGAGGGGAGATTTAAGATTTAAGATTTAAGGTTTGTCCATACTTTAGCAAGCCACAGAATGAGCAGGTAGCTGATTTATCAGTGCATCTCATCTCCCACAGACTGATCTTAGGTGGTCTCGAATGTAAGTTCCAGCCCCTGGACTCAATCAAACCCTAAGAGAGCTCCACTAAAACTGGGCTCTGCTCTAAGCAGCTGCCTCAGTGACTCCTCCTGCCAGGGCTGTAAACTCAGGGAGTTTGTTTGTGTTGTTGGTGAATGAGTTTAACTGCACCCCACAAGGTGGAGCCTAAATACAGAGTTTGAGGTCTGGTCATCACTGAGATCCCGCTGCCTTGCCTTAAAAATTCCTGTTACCTTCATTTTGCTCTACTCCGTGGCTGCCCAATAAAGATTTCCTTCAGGAAAGGGTCAAGAAGCGAGGAAATAACTGAGTCTTGATCGTTGCTTTTGGCCACCACTCCAAGTAGCAGAATAAAACAAGAGGAGATAGAAAATGTAGTCAGCTATTAATGACTTCCTATTGACTGATTATTTTGCTGATATTGGGCTGCTCTGACACATCCTGAGCACTGCAGGAGTTGCCCTTACACCCAGGAAACCATTTCTCTTTGCTTCAGAAAGTCCAGAATCAGCAAAAAGGTGTAAAGGTCTTGCAACGAGCTGCTGACTGATAGAGCAATCATTTCGATAATTACGACACTGGTTGCGTAAAGTCCACCTCAGCCCTGACAGACAAGTTATAATCTGGTTTCTCTTGAGGCTAAAAGGGTTAGACCGGGACTAATTGGGGGCAAAGAGAGATGACAGTGACACACTCACTGCTGCCCGTTTTTCATAGTTAATTACACGGCTGGATTATGTGTAGGGTTTTTCAGGAGCAGGTCAGGATGTATTAAACCAGGGAGGAAAGTGTTTGTGTTTCTTTACAAATGAATGGACATGAATTAATTGAAAGATGGGGAGGCAGCCAACTGTAGAACACAGGGTTAACACGTCAAATGGATCAGAATTCCCTGATGCAATTCCAATAAAATATGGATACCTTGAGCAAGGCAGGGATGGATGGTGTGTCCCCAGCTGTGATTCTAAGACCCCTCCCAGTTCTCTCCTCTGGGTGCTCCTCCTGCACTGCATGTTTACGATCACAGCTGTTATTTCCTCCATCAGCTTCAAAGCAGGGATCAAGCAGATCCCGACTTTTTACGAGGTAATTCGCGCGGGACTCCGCAGGTTTCTGACCGTGCCACACCCGGAGGCAGAGCCGCTCCCGGGAAGGATTCCCCTGCTGCTCCCGAGGCCAAAGCTCGGGACAGAGCCCCCCGGCAGCCGGGGCGCACGGAACCCCCCTTGGCTTGGTCCAGAACCTCTGGGTTTGCTCCGTGCCGAGCCTGCCTTCCAGCCCCCTGCAGAACCAGAGCCAGAGCAGACGGAGACTGACCAAGCGAGCCCCAGCCCTGCCCTGTGACCCCTTCGCAACCTGAAGAGCTGAACGCGAGCCCCGCACATCCCAGCTGGTCCAGCAGGACATCCCGGAGCCAGGGACGCGCTGGTCAGGCAGCGAACCCTCACGGGGCACGGAGGGGAGGCAGCAACGCCGCCGGGGCCCGCCCGGGCTGCCGGGGAGCGCGGAGGAGCGGGAGCCGCTCGGGGGGCGGAACTGGAGGCGGCTCCTTCCCACCGAGCCCGGAGCGGGACACGGTAATGGGATGGGATGGATGGGATGGGGATGGGATTGATGGGGATGGGATGGGATGGGATGGGATGGGATGGGATGGGATGGGATGGGATGGGGATGGGATGGATTGGGATGGGGATGGAATGGGATGGGATGGGACAGGATGAGATGGGATAGGGATGGAATGGGGATGGGATGTGGAGCAGGGACGCGGGTGCAGCGAGCCTGGGCGGGGCAGGGCGGGAGCCCCGAGCGCCGCCGCGCTGCCGGGCCGGACGGGGCAGCCCAGCCAGGGCTGGAATGGGTGCCTGGGCTCGGCAGAGGGCGGCGCGGCCCCGCCGCCATCCCCTCCTGCCCTCCCCGCTCGGAAGAGGCGCCCGGGACGGGAGAAGCGATGGACGGGGCAGGCACGAGGGACAGCGCGAGCCGGTAAAGGTATTTAAAAGTGTTTTTTTTAAGTTTTAAAAATAAAAACCTTGAGGTTTTGTTACATTAGAGCATCGCAGCGCGGGGTCTTGTAAAATTGCCTCTAGTTTCGATTGGTTTTAAGTTTAAAAACGTAGAATCGGTGGCTGGTTTTGGGCTGGAAGGACATTAAACATTAACTCGTTCACCTCCTGCCGAGTGCAGGGACACCTCCCATAGACCAGGCTGCGTCCAAGCCGGCCCTAAAGCCAGCTTTAAATAGTACATTTCCAAATTATTTCTGCTGGTAGCTTTAAAAAGGAATTATTTTCCTATACACCTATTATTATAGTATTTTTAAATCATCATATTGTACTATTGGTTATTATAATTAGTAATCTTTATTGAATATGAGAATTTCCCACCCTTTTCCTGCCGAAGCACGTCCACATTACACAATCCCGTACCTGGGTGGAGATGGATCTAAATCCCCGCCAAGCATTCTGAGCCTTGCGTTGCCTCACATTCATTTCAAAAGTCACCAGTTTTATCTTTTGCCACTATCTCAGCCTGGAAGAAAACAAAAGTAATGCCCGGGAAGGAGCTGCCGTCCGCAGCTGGAAGGGAGAAAGTGCCGGCACAAAGTCTGGAAGTGGAGGAGGAGCTGGAAGGGCAGAACCTGCACCATGACCGAGCAGAAGTGCTCAGACCTCGCTGACTCACCTGCCTCACTTTGCTTCGAGCACTCGAAATAGGAGAAGGTGGGGATTCGTTTCCCTGTGTGGCTGGGGTTTCCTGAAAGACCTGAACTGATGTTTATTTCCCCAGATTTTTTCCTTATGTAGCAGATCAGGATTTGTCTCCAATTTTGTTGTTCACAGTGTCATGAAATCAGGCTTTTCTTCCTATAAAAATCAAAATATTTATAATATTTTTTTCCATGATGCAGCCAAGAACTGATCAAATGGATCAGTTTTCACTGATATGCTTTAAAGTTGATCATCAAAATAAATGTTGTCGATCTAAAATCAAACAATAAGCACTGATACATAACCTAGGTTATCTTCTTCTTTCTCCTACTGTCCACTGAAAGTCAGGTTGATGCATAAAAAGAGAATATTCCTATTAGTTAATTGCTGATTTTGAGAGGAATCAGCCAGAAATTATTCTCTTTAAATGCTTTAAAATTGCTTTAATCTGTTTTAAGGCCATTGTTGGTGAAATGTTCTCCAAATGCTTCCTTTAAAGGATGATTAATTTAAAATCAGATCCTACATAGAAACACGAGGCAGGTGGGCTCTGGAAAATCAAATTCCCCTGGATTCCAGAGTGCTGTTCTGGGGGCTGGATTTATTTGTCAAATCTAAAACATTTCTGAGCCCTGTGGTGAGATTTTTGAAGATAAAGAGTAATTAATTGTGCTGTGAAATCAAACCTTCTATTATCCTGACTGTGTCTTTGTGTGTGCTCATGCAGGATAAATATTGTTACTGCAAACATCAGAAACCATTTGGAATTCCTACAGTTAGGCACTGGAGTTATTTTGGCTTAAAGATGGCTAAAATAGATGATGGAGCACGTGTAGTTTTAAGGAAATAAAACTACATGAGGGTACAGGCCTGGGGGTTTAGTTTTAATCTGAATTTTGTGAAGATTTATCCATTGGAATCTCTAATGCTGACATTGGAGCAGCAGCTTCAGCACAGATTCCACAGGGGTTTGGAAGGGCCTGCTGTGGATCTGTGTGCCTCAAATCCAAAAATTACCTGGCTAATGGTAAAAACTGTCATGATTTTGGTCAAAACCAGCTTTAGTACATCACTTGATTTAAGGATGTTGATTTTCACCTTCCCCCTCCCCTGAGAACAAGCCACTGCTCAGGCCTTTAATGGCAGTGAAATACTTGCTCCTAGTTCTGCTGTCTTGCCCATTTTTCTATCATTAACATAAAAACCAGGGTTCTGATGCTCTGAGCATCCATTTCCTGAGCATTTGCTGGGTTTGGTGCACTGGGTGGTGTCCTTGGGGTGAGGCTGAGTCAGAGACATGGTGCTGAGATCCCTGGATCACAGCCCTTGGAGCAGGATCCCTGCTGGAGACCAGGTCTGTGCTGGGGGGGATCTGCAGGGTCAAAGCCACGAGCTTTCAGTGCAAGGCCTGCAAACC